ATAAGGTATAATTAATTAAGTCTTTCATTTTTTAATTGTTAGTTGACTGATCTATTTAAATATTTAATTATTACTAGATCACTTACAGATTATACAATACATTATCTGTATACATTAATAATTACAAATCAGATCTAACACCAAATCCAGGTTCTGGTGGTGGAGATGTTAATGATGTTAAGCCACCTGCTGGATCTGCTGCAAATCTAGGTGAATTTTGTGGACCTGGTGGTGGTCTTTCTCCTTTTTTCAGTGCATTTATGATAGTAGTGGCACTTTCAGGAGTTAAATCTTCCTGCAAAATGTATTGACACTTATGTTACTGATATTAAAATTTATTAATCTCTATTAGTGACTCGTGAGTTGTAAAACATTCTGTTCTTAATAGCTACCTAAATAGTAATATATTGGTGGTTTGTACTTCTAAAATTAGTTTAAGTATAATTAAATTATAATTATAAAAATAGTAATTACAGTATGTAATTTACATATTCCATGATAAAATGTTTTTTAGAATTATACTTACATAATAATCATCATTAACTTGAAACATTGGTGCATTAGCACAAGCCCCTAGACATTCTACTTCTGAAATGGTGAACAGTTTATCTTCAGACATTTCTCCTACTTTACAATTTGTAGCTTTAGTTACAGCTTCTACAATAGAGTCAGAATCTCGTAACCAACATGGAGTACAGGTACAAATTTGTACATGATACTTTCCCATTGGCCTTCTGTTAAACATTGTATAAAATGTTGCTACTTCATAGACACGCATACGTGGTACATTCAATATTTCTGCCACTTTATGCATTGCAGAAATAGGTAACCATCCATGTTGTCTCTGAGCTAAATCCAATAAAGGTATCATTGCACCACGTTTGTGACCTTCAGGATAAATTTTTAAAAGGGCTTCAATACGTTTTTGGTTTGCTCCATTAAACTCAAATGGAATATTTGGATTATCAACTTCACTGTCTCTATGCTATTAAAATATAAATTAGCCAATATTAATTAAAGTTTGATACAAAAAATTGATTAATGTCATATATATTATATATAATAATACGTACAACAAATAACTGATCAGATGTGAGAATGGCTGAAGTCTGTAATCCTCTAATGTTTTTACAATTCTGTTTAACAAA